GGGGGGGGAGAAGAAAATTGTGAGTAGAGGGGGAGAGAGGAAGCCGGCCGGTTTTCGGTAGCCGGGAGGATGGACTTCCATATTTTATTTATGTTGTAGCCATTATCTCTATTCAGATTGTTAGGGTGTTTTTGTATCTCTATGGCTTCTCTATACTTTCTTGGAAAGTATGATGTAACGTTGGCTATTGTGGTCGTTTTATCGAACTGTATTTGATGTCTTGTTTCGATATTGTGTTCTGATAATGCCGACTGTGTGTAGTGTTTTAGTCTGACGTCACGTTGGTGTTCTTTTATCCGTAGGTTGACCATTCTCCCGGTTTCTCCAATGTATACTTACCCGCAGGAGCAAGGTATTTTGTATACTCCTGCGGAGCTGAGTGGAGGTCTTTGATCTTTGGGATTTCTTAAGATTTGTCCTATCTTTTTGGGTGGTTTGAAGATAGTTCGGATATTGTGTTTGTTTAATATCCTGCCGATCCGGTCTGTTGTTCCTTTAACGAATGGAAGGAAGGCTAGTATCCTTTCGTCTGGTTGTGTGTCAGGGTTCGTTGTCTTGTTTGCATGTTTATTGATTACTTTAGTTATGTCTTTTTTGTCGTGTCCGTTTTTCTGTAAGGCTAGTTTTAGGTGGTTGAGTTCTGTCTGTAGATGTTCTTTGTCACAGATGGTGAAAGCTCTATGTACTAGTGAGTCGATTGCTGACTGTTTTTGTGCTGGGTGGTGGTGCGATTCGGCATGTAGGTACCTGTCTGTGTGTGTTGGTTTTCTGTACACTTGATGGCCTAGGGTACCGTCAGCTTTCTTAGAGACAAGAACATCTAGGAAGGGGAGTTTTCCGTTTTCCTCTATATCCATGGTGAAGTGGATATTTGGGTGTTGTTTATTGAGAAAAATAAGGAATTTACGGAGTTCTGCTCTGCCGTGTCTCCATATCACGAATGTGTCGTCTACATAGCGGAACCAAACTTCTGGCTTTTTCGGTGTTTTTCCGAGGGTCTCTTTCTCGAAGTGCTCCATGAAGATGTTGGCGATTACAGGAGAGATAGGAGAGCCCATTGCCGCTCCTGAAGTTTGTTCATAAAATTGGTTGTTGTAGGAGAAGTAAGTGGTTGTTAAGCAGTGCTCTATTAGTGGGATGAGGTCAGAGGGGACTTTGTGTGAGGCCTTTATTATGTTTAGTGTGTCTTTTATTGGGACTTGTGTGAAGAGGGATTCTACGTCGAAACTTACAAGCAGGTCTGTGGGATGTAGTTGGATCTTTTGGATCTTTCTTATGAAGTCCGTCGAGTTGGTGATGTGTGATTCAGTTTTTCCAGTGAGGGGTTGTAATGTTTGTGCTAGGAAGCGGGATAGGCTGTACGTCGGGGAGCGTATGGCGCTTACAATCGGTCTGAAGGGGATGTCCGGTTTGTGTACTTTTGGTAGTCCGTACAGTCTTGGTGGGAGCGGGTTTGTAGGTTTTAATGTCGATTTGGTTTTGCTGGGAATGTTGCTTTCCTCCACTAGGGTCTTGGTTTTTTGTGCGATTGTATTAGTCGGATCTTTGTCAAGCTTTTTGTATGCTTTGTCCGAGAGAAGGTTCTTCATCTTTTTCTTGTAGTCTGATGTATTTATGACTACTGTTGTGTTGCCTTTGTCGGCTGGAAGCACGATGATGTCTGTGTCCCTGTTCAGGTCTTGGAGGGCCAATCGCTCTTGTCTAGTGATATTTGGTGCGGGGGGTTTGGCTTTGGAGAGGATATTGGTTACTTGTCTGCGGATGTTATCTGCTTGTTCTGATGGGAGTCGGTAGATGGTTGACTCTATTTGGCTGACGATCTCTTCTTTTGGGACCTTTCTAGGTGCCACTGCGAAGTTCGGGCCTTTGGCGAGCACAGAGATGGTGTCTTGGGACAGGACTTTGTTGGATAGGTTCTTGACGTTGAGTAGGAAGGGTTGTGGTTTTTTGTGAGGAACAAGGTTTGTGTATTTCTGTTTCTGTCTATCTGAGGATAGTGTCAGTGTATTCATGGCTTGTTCGTATGTAATGCGGTCTAGAGTTTGCCATATGTCGTGCCGTAACGTGGCGGATAGGAGTAAGTGAAGTTTAAAGGTTTTATGGGAGATCTGGGCAATTTGTGACTTGGTGAAGTGGATACGTTCTTTGACGAGGATAAGGCTGGTTTTATGAAGGATGTTTTTGGATTTGTGGCTTCTTAGGTGGTCCTTGAGTTGCAGGAACCTTGGGACAAAGAACATCTACAGACAGAACTCAACCACCTAAAACTAGCCTTACAGAAAAACGGACACGACAAAAAAGACATAACTAAAGTAATCAATAAAC